TCAAATGTGAACCTGAATCATTTGAGACTGAATTCGGGAGCATTGACCGATCCGATACGAGTACAACAACCGACTACCAAAACAGGTCTTACGTGACGGCAGCAAACTTTACTTCCAATCTACCGGTGTTGACTTTGGAAATTGTATATCCGCAAACACAAAACCAGACAGAACTAAATTATGGGCACGAATACGTCAAAAGGGGCGGTGATGGTACGAGTGAAGACTTCGGGACAATCGTAAGACGGTTCGATGCGGGACAAAACGTATTTACGGAGTCGCCAACGTTTGCTCACTATGCAGGAGTCCGTGAGCGGGGCCAGTCGTCGAGTCTATATAACAAGCGTGGGCTTAAGGTGGAATTCTGGGATTCTGATGATGAGGGTGATAACGTGCATATATCTCACTTCCCAAAAGAGGAGGACTTTGTACTTCGCGGACCCTTCACTGATAAATCGCTCCTGCGGGATCACCTCGGATATTCGGCCGCAAGACAGACTGGAAGGTACTGTCCCCGCACAGAGCTGCACGAAGTCTTTATCAAGGAAGATAGGGGACCCGGGGTAGACCAAACACACTATGCCGGGGTCTATGTATTTACAGAAAGTGTGAAGAGGGACAAGAACAGAGTCAATGTGGAGAAAATACAACCAGACGGGACAACTGGATTGATACTGAAGGTTGACGCAGCATTCGGGGAAGGCAGCGCTGCACTGGTGAAAGGCACCTTCTATACGGAGGGGGCAGATGGAAAAGCGGATGTACTGCAGCAGGGTTTATTCATAGACTATCCCAAAGAAGAAGACCTTACTGAGTCTATTCTACACAATACACAGGAATTCATCAGCGGCCTAGAGTCGGAACTGGATCGCATCAACGATCCCGCTGCCACCGATGCACGCAATGTTGAATCACCCTCGTATCGAAAATACATAGATCCGACGTCCTTTGTAGATTACCAGCTGATACAGGAGCTTGCAGACAATGGCGACGCTTACTTCCGATCGACATTCTTTCATAAGGAGATTGGGGGCCGTCTGCAGGCTGGTCCCATCTGGGATCTGGATTTGGCGTTTGGGAATGTTGGATGGGATATGGAAACGCCTGCGAGTGACTTCAAGTACAACTTTATGGAAGGAAGACCGTTCTTCGCTCAGCTTAATAAGGACGTAAATTACAAGTGCCTGGTTGTATGTCGATGGAACATGCATAGAGTAGGAGGCCTGAGTGATGAGTGGTTTGAGGGGTTCTTTAATGAAAACCGGGCTTTGCTGTCGAAAGGGGCATCCGAAAGGGAGTTTAAACGATGGAAAACCTTGGGGCAATATGTTCCTCGAGTGAGTCTCGGGTTTAATAGCACAGCCCCATCGTTCTATCTCGAATCGTGGGAGGACGAGGTTGATATGCTCCAGAAGTGGGTGTCGATGCGACTACGGTTCATGGACAATGTGATGCAGGGCCAGAAAGAGTACTTAAATTGCGACTGCGAGTACGCTGACGAGTGGGCACAGATTATAGAGTGATTGGTTTCAATAAGACCCGCGAGAACTTGTACGTCTAACACACAAATAAATACTTTATCCAATATCACCTGTTACTCGCCGAGATTATTCAATGGTTTTATCTTGCGATGGATGAGCGCCACTGATTGATTTGAGAAAACAACTGCAAGATCGATAGCAAGGCTTTTATTACCAACGAGCGTACGTACCTTAACAACATCCAGAATTCTTCTTAACAACATCCAGAATTCTTTACACTCGTGATGTTTTGCGTTGACTGTTGTTGGCACAGGTGTGTTCGGAACTTATCATGATGTACTCGACCCTCGCTCACCATTTGCAACGGTTTACTGTGAGTAACATTATATCCCGAGAGTAAGGCTCAACGAGTAGCACGTGGTTATGTTCATACGCCGAAGCCAACGCCTACCTCGTTTACTTGTGCTCTTCTCCACCATTACATAGCGCACTAATCATAATTTAGTGCTTTGTTGTGAGCGAGGTTGATGCGTCCATTGCAATCTTGAGCAGTACAAAATTCACGCAGAGAACAAACAGTTTAGGTGCAAACTTTATAAAAGAGCGTGCTCATACCTTGTCTGAAATAACCAGAAAATCGTGCCAATCAAACAAAGGCACTAGTCACGAATGCTGCCGATTTTGTGCACCTCCTTGTTGTGCACCTCCTTGTTTCATAAGTTCGATGCATCAAAATCTGTCGGAATTAACCTTATCATTATAAAGATATATATATACATATGTATATATATGTATATAT